CTACAACCTGCATTCAGAAAATTCCCAACACATGCAACCACCTCCAAACAATTACCACTATATCAAACAGCTAAAAGCAACTCAAAACAACAACATGCAATTATAGGATCACCATAAATCATCACTTTTCTATTCCAAACCAAAAACCCAATTTTAACTACAATCCGCACCCAACAACTCAACTATCTCAAGGAAAAACAAATAGCGTGAAGCTTCCCTAACCTCGGAGAACAATGAGTCTGGGTTCGAGCTCGGGGAAGAGAAAGATGAAGAAAAGGAATATTCGTGCTTCCAGCTAGCAACTCACATCTCTACTCGGCACAATTGATGGGTTGGATTCTCAACAGAGCAAAAGCCAGCAAGAAAGCAAAGGCTGGGAGAATGTTGATGGTTGTTGAGACCCCAATGTTTGCAAGAGTTGCCATTTCAAGAGTCCAGAGAGAGACAGAGATGATGATGGGGTTTGGAAGAGCAAGAGAAGAATGAGAGGGAAGAGAAGCAACATTGCAGGTCTTACATTAGACATTGAATGACACAATATACTCAGAAGAGAATGAGTAGATATAAAAGTGCATAGAAAATGACATACACATGCCTCAAGTATGTAATTAAATTGTTAGAAGTTGATGTACCAAAGCAGGTTTATGTAATATTATTTAATGTGTTTTAGGCGAGAAAAATGACATGGAGAACTAATTGAATTTATAATTATTAAGATACTAACCAATGGAATTGAAAATTTATAAAGTTGTTATTACTTTTTACATGCATTTTTCTTTATTTTTATCTTTAGATATATTGGTAAAAAAAAAAGTAGAATATAAATATAGAAGTATAATTATCTTTAAAAATTGAACATCAAAAAAGGTGATATCTTTTTTATATATTATTATAAATATACTATTATAGATTTATGCAATATTTTATTTATTAATTATAAATATATGTGAAATTTTGGTGTGTTTTATACATATTGGTGAAAAAAAATTAGAACACAAATATAGAAATATAATCTATAATATATATATATATATATATATATATATATATATATATGGAATATGTTAATAAATTTACATAATTGAACTATTTTTGTATTTCGTCATGTGTAAAAAGTGAGGTTATTAAAGTGTTTTTTTACAAACACTTCTTTTTTAGTTTTTTTTTTAATTTTTTAAATTAAAAAATAAAATTTGTTTAAAATCTAAACTGAAATTATAATAAAAATAGAATATTTTGTTTTGTAACTAAATTTATAAAGAATTAGAATTAAAATTTAAAATAAATTAGAGATATAAAAATAATTTGAATTAAATTATCCTAACTGAAATTTGTTATTTTCTATTTATCTTTTTTACTTTAAATTATATTTTTTATTTTCTATTTATTTATAATTTACTGATTTTTCTAGGAGTATTGTCTCATGGTCTTTTAGAACCTTATGTTCTAGAATATCATCATCTTTCTTGGGAACAATAAGAGTATTGTACCAACACTTGACTTAGAATCACACTATGATTTGTGCACTATTGTAAATAGATAATTAACATTAAAAAAACTCACACTCAAGGCGATTTTTCTTTAAATATATATACATTCTTTTTTAATTTATACACTTTATAATTGTCATTCTCTGTCAAAGTTTTCCTATTTGTTTAATTGACAATTACCTTTATTATGCTTGCCAATAAAAAGATTATTGTGGTGTTTTCTTGAATTTTATGTCATGAAAGTCATAAAGTTTATGGATTATTTGTTGTTATTATTCTATTTTAAAGTTATTTTTGGTGCATGATCAACTTGAGTTTAGTAAGAATATTGTTGCATAAGAAGTGAAAGAAGAGTTAGAGAGTAATATGACAATATTTTGACACTCTTTAAATGATAATTATTATCATTTAGCAAAGAGACCGCTTAATATCTTAGATCGCTTATATACTTGATAGATTTGAGGTGTATATTTTGAAATATACTTTAGTTAAAATTTTATATTTAAGTGTTGTTATTTTAAATGTTATTGGAATATTTGTTCAACATCTTTTATTTTTGTAATGTCTTTCTATTCTATTAATTATTTATAAATGTCATTTTGATATGGTAGGGCTTCCTTTTTCTACAATTTTAACTGTGTGAGTTACTTATGATAGTAAACTAGTAGAATATTACTTACTAAAGTTTAAAACCATGTACTAATAAAGATTAATAATGATTTAAAAATTTATTAAATTTAAAGATTATGTTTGATTTAAAGTTGAAATATAAGATATAAAAATAATGAAACGCATGATGACTTTAAGCAAAAGATTATTTAAAATAGTTTATACGAAAATGCTAAATCTATTATATGAAAATTAAGTCACTAAAATAATTTCAAAAAAGATAATTATATTATAATAAAATAAAATCATCTAACTAAATCTTTAATCCTAATCCATAAACCATAAAGTTTTAAATATTAAATATAAAAACTTTTTTTTTTAATTTTTAAATCATCTCAAAATTTAAAATATGTCAATTATAAAAAATTACCACAATATTTATGAAATTTGTAAATCATTTTTACCAATAGATAATTCTATTATAAAAAAATAATTACTAAAAACATTGATAAAATATAATTGAGACTAAAAATATTGAAGGTTTAATGATGGAATCATGCCTAGGAAGGCAAAGAGTGACACATTGAAGGAGCCAAGAGGAGTTGGCTAGACATAAAGGGTTGGGCCAGTCAAGGCCCAATGGGCCCGATGGGCTTGGAAGGTCCAAGTTGAGCTTCACATGGGCCACATCTTGTTATAGCTATTTTCTTATGTTTTGTATATATCATGTTAGTATAGGTTTCCTATATTTTGGGTCTTGTATTTTGGATCATTTAGGATAGCATTTTAGGCCATAGGCTTATTGGGCCTAGTTTTGGGCTTCATGGGCCTTTGGGCTTTTGGTACCCAATATTGGGCTCATTTTCATTCTTGTAATTTTTCATTTCCATTGTATTTAGGCCATTAGCATAGGAATTTAAAGGAACTAAGTATTAGGCATAAATCATAGAAATCTAATTACATTTAGGAGTAATTAGAGTTTCATTTGAGTCACATGGTTTGTGCCAAAGGGGGTTGCACATGTGAACACTTAAATGAACTCCAAATTAGCTCTAAATGCAATTAAGTTTCTAGAAAGGGTGGCTGCACATGGAGGATGCAAGTGGACGTCCAAATTTGAATTCAAATTCAAATTTGAATTCAAAATTGGCGCCACTTGTTGTACATGGAGTTGGCGCCATTTCACATGGATCTGTGGCCTTTATATTTTAGTTCCCTTCAATCTTGTAAACACTTTGAATCATGAATGAGATTTTCTGAAAATTATTCAGCCAAGTCTCTCCCTCAAAGTCACCTTGACTGAAAGTTTCTTAGCTTTCTTCTAGGAAATTAGGTCAAACTTTGTGAGCAATCTTTTGCTCTTTTAGCTCAAGTGCTTCCTTCTCCTTCCATCTTCATCTTCTTCTTTCCTTCTGTGAACAATCCAACTCTTCATCACCTCAAGGAAGTGATCATAAGGCCGAGCAACTCAAGGAGTGGAGAACATCAATCCTTTCCACTTGGAGTTGCCATCATTTAAAAAATAATTTCTGAAACATTGATGAACTAAAATCACAATTCACCCAAATTTTTACATGTAACTGCCATGTCAATCTAGTAGTCTATCTTATTGCTAATATCACTACCACATCTTCACTTAGTAATGTTACTTATGGTAGGGATGATAATTAATGGGGTGGGTATGGATTTCTCTATACCCGTTCTTATCCTTATTTCCATACCCTATTTTCATATCCTATGTCCATATTCGTTTCCAAATTTGATGGGTATAAAATTTGCATTTCTATCCCTGTATCTGTTGAGTATCGGGTATATCAGTGATTATCTTCTATCTGTCCAAAAATTAATTAAATATATTTTTTTGCAAAAAAAATATAAAAACTAAGAATTTCAACATAAATAATAATTACAAAATTACATTAATTAAACTTTATTTGACATAAATTAAAAATAGAATAAGAAATTACATAAATTTTAAGTAATTTTTTTAAAAATAAATTAAATATTTATAAATTTTAAACAGATATAGGTACAAGATGAGTATGAATATATCTATCTTGTCCTCGTACCTAATTTAATGAATCGGTTATTACTTGTACTCGTACTTATGTTTGATCAAATTGAGTATTTTTTGTCAAAGTTAGAACGAATTGGGACATTGCTCATAAATACATATTTATTTACTATCCTTACTTTATGATAGACAAGGACAAATTAAACTAAGATGTGATGATTCACAGCAATTTAAAGATTATAAATTATTTAACAAATATATATATACGTGTTAAATTTTATATTAAATACTTATAATTTGTATTTTTTTTAAATATTTATAAACATACTTTTTAAAATATTTGCCATTATAAATGTTAATTGTTTGTTTCACATGTCACCGATGACTTTCATGAATTTATTATAAAAATTGATATGTACCTTACTAATAAAGTTTTACAAAAAGGTTCTATTAATTATGTTATAAAAAACTATTGAACCAAAATAAATTACATTACTCACTTTATTATCTTTTACAATAATAGTAACCAATAACATTGAAAATAAATTTGTCCTCATATTATTAGAAAAGTAAGAGAAAAAGAAGGATATGTCGTGTCATTGATATTTGGCCCGAAAGAATTTTGGCAAACCATAACATCAGTTCATTATAAAAATAAAATAATACTTTCAATTATAATTTCATATTAATTTGAAAATCGAATCCCAAATTTTAATTGATTAATTTGAAGATCAAATCATTCATGTTAACAATTTCTAAAAAGTATTATAAAAAAAAAGAAGCTAAAAAGGTCCTACCAATAATAATTTGTAACCGGTTTTACATAAAATTACGCTAATAACCATTAAGCTCAATTTTAAAAAGAAAAACAAGAATTGAATCAATTGTTGCACTAGAAACTGAAACAAGAAGTTCCATTGATTCACACCCTTGCTTCCAAGAAATTTATTGAAAGAAGGAAGAAAAGAAAAGGACATAACAAAGAAAACAAGTTACATTATCCCTGAATACAAACCAAACCAAGTGAAACAAAACTATGTAAAGTGTATACATGAGGATATTGAGGGCATGTAGGTATATATATATCAAGTGATGATTTACCCCATGTACATGTGGATCCCAACAGCCAACATGAAGATGCAAACGAGAGCAAAGTAGAGGATAGCATGGACCAGTATAGATAAGCCACTGGTTTGAAAGTTACCAAACTCTATGAACCTTCCTCTTCCAGGTATTTGGACCAGAAGTCCTGGAGTGAGAAGAATGAAAAGCACCACAGACACAAACACTGGCCCCCAATCTCCCATTTTCTCCTTCTCCTTCTTCTATTTCTCTTTGTACTTGATCTCTTAATTTCACTATCTATATATGTGAATTAATATGGTAGTTGCAATGACAATGAGTGGAGGACTTAAAAAGGAAATGGGGGTGGCTCAAAGGTGGTGATCACTTTGGAAGAAGAGACAAGCAAATGATGACATGGAAAAAGCAAAGGTTATAGGATGAAGCTATTCTGATTCATATTTTACATCTCACACCCACACGCACGCCACCCATACTAAAATTAAAGGAAGCTTCATATCCTTGTAAGGCACACGTACTACTGTTAATCATTAGTATTTTTTTTAATATACAATAGTGGTGTCATCTTTGAGTGAGATAGAATTAATATAGAGAGTGAATTCTTTATCTAATTATTTAATACAAATGATTCAAATTTTAGATCATTAATTAAGTTGGAAATTTTTTTAATAGTTAGTTTATGTGCTCATTTGCAATCATGGGAGTTGTCTTATTTAGAAAATGTTAGACTCTAAATGTGAATGAAAGCCTTATATGTATGATAAAGTTAAGTAATATATAAGTAAAAAAAATTAATAATTTATGTAAACATGCATTGATACTTTAAGATAATCTTTATTTCTATAAAATTGTATTATTTGAATAAATATTTTTTTGTTAGTAACATGATGTTAAACATAGGAAAAATCTACTTATGGAATTTTTCCTATGTTTAATCTCGTGTTATTAATAGAAATTTAAGCAAATAATACAATTTTATAGAAATAAAATTTGCATTAAAATGCCAACATAGATTAAAACAAGTGGTTAATTAAGGATCCATATCGAACTTTCACCTTCTCCATGGGTGCAAGTTTGAATCTCCCAAATGCCTCTTTTCCTGATTGGTGGGCAACCCTCCCAAAGGAGATTTCTTAACTTTTATGGGCTAGTTAAATAGCTGCAATTGAGTGAAATTGTTTGCAATTTGGACTTGTGTTTGCAATTTGGGCTTGTAGTAATGGTCCTGAGCATGAGTTGGTAGAGCAATCAACAAAATAAATATTATTTAATCTATATGATATAAAAATAAAATTTTACATAATTAAATTATATAAAAAATGTATTAAAGAAAATAAATTATTTGTGATCGATTATTAAATATAAAAGGAAAAAAATGTGATATATTATTATTATTTTTTTCTCTTCATGTAACCTTCTATAAATGTTAAGAATTAAATATGTTTTTAGTCTATGTAAATGCACAAGATTTAATTTTTGTCTTGTAATTTTTGTCTTTGCTTTTCATCCTTCTAAAATTTTAAACATTAATTTTAGTCATTGTAAAATATTTTTGCTCCTTGTAAAAGGAGTAAATTTTGATTTTGTTCATTGTTAAATATTTTTTCTTTTGATTTTTATATAATATATATTTTAAGGATATATAAAAAAATTTAAAGGTGTCACGCTGACATATCACTAACAATTATGGGTAACACCTAAGAAAATCAATTAACTTTTTAATGAACAAATAAGTTGTTAAAAATGATTATATAATAACAATGACTAAAAACAATGGTTATAAATTTTAGAGGGATGAAAAAAAAAATTCAAGGAACAAAATCAAAACTTGTTCATTTTGTAAGGATTAAAAGCATATTTAACCCTTTCTATATTTCTATTTCTATTTTTTAAATCATGACTTACATTATTACGCTAAAATCTCAAAATCAAATCATGAATCTATACCTCTCTACCACGAGTTTCTTTGTTTATTATTATTGATCCCTTTTTTTTAATGTGGAGTGGTCTCTAAGGATAACTCATAGAATATCATACAAATGTATTGTATGTTTAATCATTTATTTAGCGATATATTGTGTTTAATTGTCTGTGTTTCATCCTTTTAGGTTTGAGAATTAGTCATAAGTAATATTCAAATAATTATAAGGGCATCATTTTTCACTTCACCCGAAGCACCAAAAAACTCAAGGTTTGTGAGCCTGTTACGTAATCTTTTAAAGTAGACCTCTGCAAGCAATTGTGGTTCAGGCCTATGCATATATTTGAGCATTTGTACTAGATAACCTTTTATTTTTTGCATTGTTTAGTGGATAATGAGCACACTAGTACATAATACACATTTTACGTCGGTCATTTTAGGGGTTTTTACGTCAGAAAAACATCCGACGTAGAAGCGGGAGACGTAAATTTACGTCGGGGCACGAAAATCGACGTAAATTTACGTCGGACATGCCTAGGTCCGACGTAAAAAAGTTATAGAAATTTTTAAAAAAAAAAATTTGAGTGCAAGCAGAACGGGTCGTTCTGCTTGATAGACCCAGGACTGCGTCTCCAAACCTAGACTTGGTCACTTCTCCAGCTTCAAAAACATGCGCGAAATGCAACAGAAACATTATTACGAAAAAAAACATCTCAGAAAACACAAACTTGATAGAAGATACTACCTCATAGAAGAAAAACGCAACTCTCCGAAGAAGAAAAACGCAACCCTCCGAAGAAGAAAAACGCAACCCTCCGAAGAAGAAAAACATCATCACGCGAAGAAACACAGCCACGATTTGAGGAGGAGGCGGAGGGATGATGAAGAAAAACAGATAGAAGAAAGTGGACGATTTGAGGAGGAGGCGGGAGAAGGAAGCCATGAAATTTTTGAACTAGCTAGTGCACGCAAGACACCTTCTTTTAAGCATCCTGTGGGTTATTTACGTCGGCCCTGTTTGGGTCCGACGTAAATAATTTAAGAAAATTACCAAATGTGCCACGGCGCTTTTATTACGTTGGTTCTTTGTATATCCGACGTAAAATGGATGACGTAGTATCCTATTTTTCCACTAGTGACATAAACAAAATAATGTTAAATTTAATATAAGATAATGGTGGGTGACTGCCGGCAATGGTGGGCTGCAATAGTTGTGGTGGTCGATGATAATAGTGTTGGGTGGCGATAATAAGAGTTGGAGTAGTGTTGATGCAACACCATAATAATGAGTAGTTTTGTACTTAGAATAAAAAATTGTCTCATTGTTTATTAAGTAACCAAAAAATTGGATTTTTATTCTATCCTTCTTCATCTTTTTATTTAATACTATGATTTTTAATGAATCAAAACATACTCAAATATATATCATATGCCCCCAAAATGAAATGTCTAAAATCACCAACTAGACATCATTGCCAATGAGAAATAGATTTTTTTTAATTGTCTTATACAACAAAAATCATGAAAACAATTAATACGGAAAGAGAAGTTGGACAAGAGTTAGATAACAACAAGAGATATGTGTAACTCACTAATATGTACTTCTTTTGTTTTTTATTATAAATAAAAAAATACATAATTTTTTTTCTTAAATATAATCAAATTTTAATTACTTTTTTTCATTTAATAATATTTTCTAAATATTCTTATTTTAATGTATAACTTTACGGTTATATTACCTTTTTTGTCATTTATAACAAGGACAATTTGAAACGGATATTATCGAATTAGTAAAAAATTAATATAGATAATTACTTTTCTTAATAAGTGTGAAATTATTTTTTTTTCTTTTTTACTTATACTAAAGATAGAGAGAGTAATCTTTAAAATGTATGTTAAAAGAAAATCTAATTCCTATAAAGTGAGATAATTATATTTTAAAGAATAAGGTATAATAATTATTGATTAAAAAAATTAATAATTAATATTAGAACCAGTTTTAGATTTTATTTTATAAGAATTTAATTTTATAATTAATAATTGTAAATGTATTTCATTCTCTAAAATATATTTCTCACTTTAGCATACTCAAATTCAAAAAAAAAATGTAACTAATATCAGTCTTATTTCAACTATATATATATATATATGATACTTGATTAATGCTTACATGTTCCATGATCATGTCAAGTTTAATAGAAAAATATTATTGTATTTTTTTTTCAATAATATAAAAAGTGGAATATAAAAATATCTAGATCAACTACTGTGGGGCTTGGTGGGTGATTACGAGATGGATAAGAAACTGATATATCAAAACAAAGTTACTTTACTGTGATAGATGATTTTTTAACGACTATTTAATTTGTATTAAATATACAACTTGCTGTTTCTGGTCTTCCTTGACAAAGAAATGAAAAGTAAAATGACAATGTGGAAAGAAGCTTGCTTTTGAGAGCTGTTTTGATTCAAAAAGACTAAAGTCACTTTTTCATTACTTACAGGCTAATCAACCAAATTCCACAATATTAGAGGGGCAAGGGACAAGATTTAATGTGTCAGAAAGTAAGAACAAAATTTAATTAAGGACTAAAAAAGTTTTTACTCCTTAATTTTTTAAGAAATTAATTTTTAGTTTCTCTTAACTTCTTTCTGCCAATTTTTAATTTTCTATTTATTTTCTGTCACATAAATTAATTCTTAGATTTTTTTTTGTGTGTTAAGGGAGGATATATGATAATAAGTTATAACTGATTTGATTATTAATGTTTATATGACTATTTAATAAATAGTAAATTATATAATATGTATAATTTTATTTTCGTTCATGTTCATATTGTGAACAATCATTTTAATACATTTTTATTTAAAATAAAAAACATCTGACCATGTGAACATAGAAAAAAAAATACTTTAGCATTTATTACACACCTATATGGATAAAAATAATTCACTCAATCATGAATTATTAAATTAATAGAGGAGATTGAATTTAAAGGGCTAATTTATGTGATGGAAAATTAATAAAAGATTAAAAGATGAAAAAAAAATTAAGAGTGAAATCTTATTTAACTCTCTTAAATATAATTTGTTATAGTTTAGCCTTCTGCTAATGCAAATTCGATATCACGTTCCTCATAATACTAACATGAAGTTATTGTTCTGGAGATATCAACAAGACACCGAGGTCGACCTTATTAGGTTGCTTTAGATTGTCAAGACATGCCAAAATCTGAATTAAATATAAACATAAATGAGCATTGACTCCATCAATTCATAAGTAGACTAACTTATTATAAATGGGTCGATCCTATCAACCAACCATCTATGAGCATTACAACTTTCTCACTCTTAAATCTCTCTATTAGCTTCATGCATGCAAGAATTACTAAGGGTGTGTTTGTATTATTATCTGATTCCATTCGACGTCA